CCAGAAGTCTTTCTATATACCAATGCCAAACACACTGAATAAGCAAAATCAAAACAGAGAAAGGGCAGCTTGCACCTACTAGCCCCAAGAGCAACTGTTACTCGAGAGCTTTTCAAGACACTATCTCCCTCAAGTCAGGTAAGGGTGGGTATTTGGAAAATACATATCTTGCATGAGAGTGAAGTATATGGCCACAGAGGGCAGACTCTTGAGGACGCCAGTGCACCTTGGTCATTGTCAAGAGTCAGTAGATGCTGGATGAGTTGGGTACCAGGGAGCTCAGGCTGTCTTCATTCCAAGGGACTGATGGGTATCTGGGTAAGAGCTACTTTTCTAGAGCTCTCCAACAACCCAGCAAATCTGGAGCCATCTGTTTGTCTCCACCCATTGAGAGCAGCATGGTTATGTTTGTTTGCATATTTTCCTTCTTAGCCATTCAAGTCATGGACCAGTAAAGTTTCTAATCAATTCTGGGAAACATGAAACAATGGCCAGGACAGTCAGAATTCATTACGCAGAAGCCCAGAAGGGAACTCTGAGGTTAGGGTTAGGATCAACTGGCCTCCTGAGTGTCCCCGTTTCTTCATTTCTCCTAGTGAGTCACTGCTGAGTTATGAACCTGCTTCATCTCAGGCGACAACCATACAGAATACAGAAGTTGCTCACCCACGCTGGGTGGAGGGGCCGACTCCTCTGTGCTGGGTGATTTCACCTAAACTGACTTGTGGGTTTCATATGAGGCCCTCTGGCACCACCAAGTGGCTGGCCTGGCCTCTGGTCACTCTTGCATAATTTGCGGCAGAGTCCCAGTGCTCGGTTCCCGATTCTGGATTAAAATGTGAATCTTGTCATTGCTTGTCAGTTAAATGTGCTTGCTGTCCTCTGCAATCTGTCTTCAGATCTATGAAGTCCTGGATGTTTTTAAAAGTATTTTGCATAAAGCACACAGTGCTCTGATGACTACAAATACTCTTAGCATTTGGCTGAACCCTTGAGTAGGAATCTGTCCTGTCACCATGTGAACATTCTCCAGATCACCACACAAAGTGGGAAAACGTGTGCATCACCTATGGGGTCCGGATTCCTTCGTGTGCGGTCATGCAGCAACGATCCACCATAATTCTGTGTGGATCCATCCTCCTGCTCGAGCGGAATGCACTGCGCCTACAGTACCTACAGAGCATCTCAGCTCCATTAAGTATCGTCAAGAAGATCTCCAGTCGAGAGTTCCCGTTCTGTTTTCATTTCCCGACAGCACTGAGGATTGGATGCAAGGGTTTCCAGGATGCTAGCCAAGTGCCCTGCTACTGAGCTTCAGCCCCAGGCTCAGCTTTTTTTTTAATATCGGTTGTAACAGTGCACTTAGAGAGAAAGGGTAGAAATCTTCATAAATTACACCACTGGATGCAAGATTTATAGTTTATCCGCATCCAGCCCCTAACGTTGCTTTCTCCCAACCGTGTCTTCTTCAATGAAAAGCTTCCAGTTTTATTAAAGTCAAGTTTATTATTTTCATCTTTCATGAATCATAATTTTGCTGCTGAGTCTGGGAATATATCTCATTCTGTCTGCACAACAGCGATTCATGCTTTTGGAGGAAGGTTTGAAGTTTCTCACTTCACATGCAGGTCTATCTATGCTTGTTGGATTAGTGGCTGCATATGGTGCAAGGTAATGGCCTGTTTTTGATTTTTGGCTATGAATATCCACATGGTCCAGCATTGTTGGCTGAAGACACTTCCTTTACTAGAATGGCTGCAAAAATCACTCTTCTGTATCTAGACATAAGTCTATTTTTGGAATTCTACCATTTCTTTTGGTTTGCCTATTTCTGTAACACCACACTGTATCAATCACCAGGACAATGCTACGGTATGTCTGTCACCATGGCAACACCACACTGTGTCTGCCACAATTTCACACCATACTGTATCATATACTGATGATGATGATGATGATGATGATAGCTATTATTATTATACACATGTTATATATTTATTTTTTGTTTTTCAGGACAGGGTTTTTCTGTGTAACAGAAAAACAGCCTTGACTATGAATTGCTTATCTTAAGACATTATTTTAGTTACACTACTTTTCCTTCCATAATTATCATGGATCATATATGTCTTTTAACTTTATGTCTGAATTTCAGATTCAGTGTGTTGGTATCTGAAGAGAGCTCCTGGGATCTAGCGGATGTCACCTTCATGTAGCTGCACCAGTGGGAAGGCTGGCATCTCTAAAATGCTGCATCTTCACATTCAGGAACTTTTTCTAGGTGTTTTTTATTTCTTCAGTAGTTTTTAAATAATTTTTATCATAGAAATCTTGCATAGTTTGCATTATATTTGTAACTAAGTTCTTCATTTCTTTCAGTGCTTGTACAAATACTTTAAATACTTAAATTAGCAATATTCACTATCAGGTAGAGGACCATTTTGATTTGTGTATAAATTTTTTTAGTGTATAGCCACAAATCCTTGCAATCTTATGGATTTGGCATGTTTCTAATTTTCCAATATATATGTTTAACATTCTAAATTTTCCCCTAAAACTTAAGTTTTATTTAGTTAAAATATTTTTAATTTCTCAAAATATTTTAAAAAATACTTTTATGGCCCCCAGTCTATTTTAAAACTGTATGGTTTAAATAATATATATTCATATGTTCTCCAAATGCAAGTATTTTTATTTCCAACTAACACCATCATGCCAGAAACATACTTCTTATGGTCCTGAGTCCTTCACCTCTTTTAATGATTACTTAAAAACAGAATAAATAACACCTATATTACCGACTATTTCAATTTGGAAAAAATCTATTCTGCAGCTGTTAGGTGGAGTCTCCTACAAATGCCAGTAATAACTGGCTAGCAGTGGTTATTGGGAAAATAAGCAAAGATCAGTGATCTTTAGCATGAGAATATTTTTCTAGGGAATATACAAAAATAACACTCAAAATGTTAACCATTGTTTTTCATAAGATATTATCAAAATTTATCTCAGGTTTGAGATGAAACATTTTCACAGAAAATGTCTGACAAAGGTCTCCTGAACTCAACGAGTGAAGTAATAAAACCTCAAGACCAACACAGGCAAGAACTTTAACAGACATGTCAACACTGGCTGGAGATCTGTGCCACTGGCAGAGACTCAACTCCAGGCTTTGGGGAAAATCAGACTAAGACCACAGATGGTCCTGTTGGGAAGCCCACCAGGGAAGGTGTGGCCAAACTGGGTGTTGATGAGAAAGGGTGGTGGGTTAGTTGCTTCTCTCATCACTAGGACACAATACTTAACACAAAGCCACATAAGAAAGGAAGGGTTATTTGGACCACAGTTTGAGAGGGTCCAGTCCGTCATGGCAGGGAAGAAATTGCAGAATGAGTATGTGGCTGGGACTTCTTGAAGGTGGAGAGACCAGAGAAGAGCTAAAGTATAAGTGTGCCTTATTTTCTCCTGTTGTTCAGCGGGTACCCCATCTCATGGAAGGGTACTGCCTACATCCAGGGCGAACCTTCCTTCCTCAGTTAAATTTCTATGGAAAGACCTCACAAATATGTCCTGAGGTGTCCCTCTTAGGCAATTCCAAACCCAGTCACATTGACACAAAGCGAAACCAGAAAGGATGGGAACCTCACCTCTCAGAAGTTCTGGAAAATACTCTGCATGTCAGTTTTCCAAATTTTATAACACTACACACAGACCTGCCATATCACCCAACTATTCCACTCCTAGAATTGGTGCATTTGAAGCAAAAGTTTGGGGACACAAATGCCAATATCACCATTTATTAATAATAACATCAAACTGTAAAAGTCTAAATGTTCATCAACAGGTGGATGAGTCCGTGCATTATTTTACACCATGCAGCAGTGGAGTATTGCACAGCCATGATGAAGCAAGTTACCCACACACTACAATATAATTGTCATATGAAATCATCAAAGTCAGAGAAAACTAAAGCAGAACACCAACTCCAAGGCTTTATGGAACGCTGCCACTACGACAGCCATCAAATTAATGGTTGCCCTTGGAGGAGTGGACTCCAAGGGAGGTAAGGAAAGCGTTTTAGTGATGGAAATGAACTTCTTGTTTTATGGGTATAGGTGTTTATGTCACGATAACACTCTAAATATTTGCCTATTTATTTTCTTGTTATGCATCACTAAAGCTGTCAGAACAAGCAATTAAGTAAAACCATTTCCAGTTAGATAAAAATTAATGAAATTCTTTCTTCACAGCTACCCAAAAAATGAATAGCAAATGAAGTTTTTCTACATTAAAAAACAAAATGCAGCAAGAAAAGCTGACCACAGAAGAAATGGTCTTTAAAGAGAACACAGTATAGAAAAATATGGAGATTGTTACTGTACTGTGACTTTTATACAGTGGATAAGAGTGCAACTTTATGTTATAATATTAGATAAGGAATTAATAAAACCACTACTTTAAACATTATTTATGCAAAGATACATGTCATATTTCATAGGTTGACTCCTAAAATAAAATATGGAATATTTCAAAAATATAAGGAAAAATTGATTGTTGAACATAATTAATTTATTGAAGTAAATCAAGAGATGAAAGAAACAAAAACAGATGTGACAGATGCAACCAAACAGTAACTTCAGCATACTAGTGATAACATGGAATGTAAGACCCTGGATAGCTAAGCTATAGACAAAAGCATGCTTTAAAAAGACCCTACATGATTTAGTTTTCAAAAAAATACCACACTTAAAATAAAAAGAGGCAAATGGACTTAAAACAGAAAAATGAAAACACTTTCCCCAAGGTTCTAGCGTGACTGACAGCTGAGTTTAGAAAAGCATTTTACACACCAGCATATTTAGTAAATAGTGGAAACATTTAAAACGAAAGTTCTAACTTCCCAACCCAGAAGGTAACACACATCAAATCGAAGCCAAAGAAAGTAGGGGAATGATAAACTAGGATGACGGGCTGAGAGTTTCCCCGGTGAGGGCCCTGATTGTTACCATTCTCCATGTTCTTCTAATTCAAGATGGTGGTTATTCATTCACTTCTGCCGCCATTCGACGGGCTGGGATCTTCTAATCCACCCAGACAAGGATGAGTCAAGGGTGGGTGAGACGCTCCCCCAGGGCTAGCAATCCCGAGACCCAGGTGCTGGACTTGCAAACCCGTTTTCACAGCTCCACGTCTGGTCACCAAGGAGCTCATCACTCCGGGCTTTGAAGGCAGTGACCAAAGTCTCCGGATCCAAGAGGGAGCACCCCTGGCACACAGCAGCAGCGCTCTCAGACAGTGATGATAGAGCCTGCCGCTGTGAGACTGGTGTTCCCAGGACTTCAGGCCTGTCTGAGAGATGGCACCACCTGCTTCTGGACACAGGGCAAACCAGTCTGCCTGGGAGGAGGTGATGGAGCCACAGGTCAAGTTGTTTAGGCAATGCTGGAAAACACTGAGCTGAGCACGGTTCAAAGTCGTTATTTGTGGAGGCTGAGCGCCAGCTAGAGCCTGCAGGTCTTCTCTCGCGGGCCCCCAGGACAAGGCTCCTCAGTTCGGCTTCCACATGGAGCACCCTAAGAGAGACAGACAAATTATTTCTGTTTTCTTTTTTAAATTATCGATGGTTGGGGCTGTGGGATGGCTCAGAGCATAAAGGTCACCTGAGTCCAATATCCAGGTCACACAGGGCGGAGGAAGAGAACTGGGTCATCCTCTGTCTTTCACAGGAGCCCCGTTCCTTGAACACTTCCCTCAGCACGAAGACACCGACTTTTTCTTAATTTGTTTTCTACTTTCAGTTGCTGAACATGCCAAGAGCTCAGGATGAATCACAACACCTGTCTATCACCACCACTTCCACAGAGACCAGGTGTACGCGTTATCATTCCTTGACAAAGGAAAGCAAGTTTAACAATAAGGCTGTTAGGACACAGGCTTTCTCACTGGAAGGGCGTGGGGGCACTGGGCAGCTGCAGAGTCAGCAGCTGGAGCCAGTGGCCTCAGATTTGTGCCAGAGGGTGAACTAGAGATAACCTGTGTCCACAGAGGGCCATTGATCTTACCTTAATGTGGAAGGAAGTCTTTTCTTATCCCTGTCGTGTGACTGGGTAGTTTGCTCATAATCTCAGACCTCTTACAAACAGCGATAAATAAAGGGCCTGTGGCTTCTTGTGGAATGCAAGGCCAGAATTTACAAATATGTTTCAACACAAAGTCATGGGAATGGAGGGCCGGGCACTGAAGCAAAGTTACATAACGGGAATAATAAATTGAAGCCGTCACCTCGAGACACAGAGGTTGAGCACACGCTCACCCTTAGGTCTGCAGTCACATGAGCTCCAGACCGGCCACACTTTGTTTAGAATCTATCGGTGTCAGCTGCTCCAGGGTCTCGTAAATCACCCCTCAGACATCTTGACAGATTCGAGAAACAGAAGGGACAACTGTGGCAGCTTGTTTTCCTCCACAATTGCTCAGCAGACAGAGAGAGAGGGAGAGAAGGGGGAGGGGAAAGGAGAGGGAGGGAGAAGAAGGGAAGGAGGGAAAGGAAGAGGGAAGGAGGGAGAGAGAGAGATGGGGGGGGAGAGAGAGAGAGACTGGGAGGGGAGAGAGACTTTCCTTGTCTCTGAAGTTTCTGGAAGCAGGGAAATCCCAGAGGCCCTGGAGAATTCGTGACTGGGTCCCAGGACATGCCTATCCTCCCACCCCAGCAGGACACAGGGGTCAGGGACAGGAGACACACCTGCCATTCCAGCCCCCACTCTGGTGTGTGGACTTGACCTTTACAGAGAAGCAGCGGCAGACCCCAGTTTCAGGCTGTCTGTGATTCATGCATTTTTATATCCTGACTCTGTGTAGTTTGGGCTGGGGCCATTTGTGTTCCCCCGTCAAAGATCATGCATACCTGTTTCTTAGCTGAATGTCCTTAGCACCCTCTGAAATTCTGGCAGTTTACCTTGGAGGAAGGAAGATTCTGGAGAGACACTGTGTCCTGCCCCTCTTAAGCTATGAAACTAAACAATGGTCCGACGGCATCAGACTGGAGGAAGTTTAGGCTGGGGCACCAGCTAGAGTGGGAGCTTGGCTCCGGGAAAGAGTTTTCACCAGTTCTGGCAGCTTACCTGACCCCCTTGCAGGAGGGATTGACACCAAGACAGGCTTGCTTAGCTACATGGACACACTGCTTTTTATTTAACTCTAACCCTCATGTCATGGCACCCAAAATGGACTTGTGGGGTTGGGTAGAGGGTGCCAACTGGACCTCTTGAATTTTTCTTCTTTCCAATGTGGCTACACAGAATATAGCGCCTTTCTCTGCTTTTCACACTTTTCTTAAATGGCCCCATTGAGAATGAATGGCTAAGCCTGGCTTTTTAGGGCGGCCAAGCTCCGGGTTGACCTGTGAAAACTCCATTGAAGTGTTTAAGCCGTGAGACTTGGGCCTTTCAGGCAGGGTTCATTTGTTGGACTCGGCTATGGTACCGTGTGTGGTTGGTTTCCTCTGGATCACTCCTTTGGTTAAATTGCCCTCTGCCTGTGTAAAGAGAAATGAAGGCTTATACAGAGGTAGATGCTGCAACTTTATACAAAACAAAATAATAAATAGAATGCAGCAGAGACATTGTCCTTTGTTTATGTTCAGAACACCCCAGCAGGGACCCACACAGACACCTTCAAGATTGTCCCTGGCAAGAACAGGGTCAGCAGAAAGGGGAAGTGGGACCTTAGGAGTGACCACAAGCCTTGTTGCTGTGTGAGAGATGCATCCTAGCAAGAATTAAATGGGGCACTCAGAGCATGGGTGTGAGGACTAGTCAGACAAGCCTGGAAGGAGAATGTGGTGGTCCTGACTTAGTGAGAGCCCTGGTTACTAGGCAGTGCACAGCGATGGGGCCAATGCCCTCAGGGAGCAGCCCCACTCACCTGGACCTGGGAAGTGAGAGAGAAATAATGCTAGTTTCCCACCAGACATTCCGGTCCTATATTTGGGGACACCAGGAGCTTGGATTCTGCTGACAATTCCATAACAATGGACCGGCTCATCAGGAATGGGGGCAGCACTAGGTTTTCTCTAGGGAGAGGTGGTGGATGAGGTCACACAGGGAGACAGGAACCCTGGTCATGAGGAGCAGAGAGCACCAGCAAGGAACCAGTGGAACTTTGTCCTGACCGAGTGGAGCGGAAGAAACATCTGGGAAGCCTTAGGAGCAGAGGGATGTTGGGTTCTGCCATCAAGAAGTCTGTAGGCAGAGACAGAGTAGAGAGGGATCTCAATGCTTCTCCAGGAGGCTCCCATGGAACCTGCTGCTGGATTGAGTCTGAGTGACAAGAGACAAGTCTGGAAGCACACTCATCAAGGCATTATTAACAGATTGAGTCTGGGAAGTACGTAGGAGACCAGTGGTGATACCTAAGTGAAACCTTAGCCTCTATGCTTTTTACACAAGTATATCTATTCTAAAATATTAGAAGAAAATTCTGATTTTTAAAGTGTATTTTCATCCTATTTGTGAAGCAATAGAGCTTTAGCAATAATAGTGCTTTAATGACTACCATTTGAATTTCAAAGCTCTCAGCAAGAAAACATCAAACTTGTGTGGAAAACCAGCATCAACTAAGCCAAGTCCTGAGCATTCAAAGTGCACTGTGTGTTCTCAAAAAAAATATTTACATAATAAGAAAGTGACCACAAGAGATACGGATTGAGGAAATGTTGGAGCGCTCACCATTTCAGAGTAGCGGGGGGAAAAGGAAACTAAAGGAAGGTTGAGACATCGAAGAGAATCTGGTCCTGGCTTGAAGGGAACCTTGGTCAGGTTACTGAACCTGAGTTTATTTGGCATTTTCTTCTGGAAAGTAAAAGCTCTTGCCCTGCTTACTTCACAGACAGATGAAGTGTGTAGAAAGACAGACATGAAACCATAAATAGGTGAAGACTTTGAAAGCTGGTTGCCCTCTGATAGTAAAGAACTACAACAGAATTTACAGGAAACAGCCATGATACTGTTGAACATTGCTGGCTTCATCACTGTACGTCAAGGGCTGGGTGTGCTCCATACCCACCCTTCTCACCTTCCTTGCTTGGGCTCCGTGACAACGGAATGTCGGACAGAAAGGTGTATAATGTAGAACATCCTAGCCTTGAGTTGGTGAAAGAAAAATCCTTGAGGAAAATGATTTGAAAGAGGTAAACCATAAACTTCAATAAAGTCACGCTAAAGCTTTTATTTTGGGAGGTGGGGAGATTGAGATGGGGATCTGCCCAGAGCAGGAGGGAGCTGCCGTTGCTGTCTAGGGAGTGGGTTGGGACATCTGACTGGTGTATAGGGATTAAGATTGAAAGGCTAACTCTCCAGCTCAGATTTCAGACAGGCCAATGATACAACCTGGAGTGTAAGAAAGAGATGAAGGTCTGGATATGTGAATCTGGAAACAACTGTGTGGAGAAAATTACACCTGCAAGATCTGCAGGCCATGTGACTTTTAGGTGAGGATAATGGGACAGTGAGGGCCACAAGGGGCTGGGACTAAACTTTGCCTGTGTGGTGTCTTTGCATAGACCAGCAAGTTTTAGATAGATAGCTGTCAGACAACCAGAGCAGAGATCATCTGCCAACCAGCGCCATGCTCCCTCTCTTTGCCATTACTGATCAGTGACACAGGAACCATAGTGAAAGGCATTATTGAGAGAATGAGAAGTCCGTGTTAGCACACAGGCTTGGTCTTGAGTCCATCCCAAGCCATGAAGATGTCAGATTGCTCAAAATTGTAGTGAACTGCGTTTGGGAAAGAGGAATCCGCCCAGACCAGTGAAGATCATGCCATGTGGGTATTTACTCAGGTTGGAAGCAGTCCGTTCCTTATACAGCACACAGCAGGGTATGTAGTGTGCCTCAGACCTTGGGCTCTGTGATACCACTTATACATTAGTGACAACCTCTCCAAGTTGTCCGTTGGCCCATCTTAGGTGCACAAGAGAAACCTGTTTCCGTGTAATCATTTATTGCCAGAGAAGCGACTTGCCCTGTCCTCTTCATAGAAGGACGAGGAAGTGTCCGACCAAGCTCTCCTGATGGTCCACTGTGACAGGTGTGAGTGCCCTCTGGAATTTCTCAACAACAAAGCATTTAATTACAGGTTCTCTCTCTTTGATAATAGATGAGATGTTTTAAGTCATAAAATTACAAGCTAGAATTTGCATATAGTTGTTTAGGAGCTTCTAGTGGAGAGATTCCAGAAGGATCATCGAACAATCTATTTTGAGCACTGTTGTTAAATCAGAAGTTTGAATTCCATTCCATTTAGTAAGCATGAAGGAAGTTAGTGGCTTTCTTATGGAAAAATTCGCTGTGCTTTAAAAAGAATTCAGAGCACAAATCATGAAAATCTGGCAACAAATCATCCAACCGTGATTAACAGCCCAATGGGCTTGTGCAGCTTAGAGCATATTCAGACTCAAGTTCTCTATGTATGAGATGAAACAAAGCCCCTCCGGGTCTGAGAAGATGTTCTGTTTTATTAGACAATCCTAACCCAGAGACCTTCAGGATAGCATGAAAATGGACTAGTCCTTGTGAAAATTTACTCTTCAGAGACACTAAAAGAAAAAAGCAGAAAGCAAAACAGAACCCAAAACTCACTTAAGTGATAGGGGAGTTCAGCCAATGACATTCTGTCTGTTGGGCGTGTTGCCCTAAGCAAAAATTTACCTATAAACCTGGCGGGTGTGCTTCCCCTCGCTCTCTCGCTTGGCTCCAGCATTCTGGAAGGACCGTTGGGATTCTGGTGTAAGTTTTCCTTCTGTTTTATTAAAGCTGTATCTTTTGTAAACTAGTCTGGCGGATCATTAATTACCAATTGACCTCGCCCCTTCACTTAAGTATAAATAAAATTGTAATAAAGTATCTAGACCCATTGTAAAATAGAAACGCAAAAGTTTTGAAGTGTGATTTTATATTAAATAGACTACTAACCTGGACTGGCCAACATTGTTGAGACCTCATGGGCATCCACATACCCCTTCAAAGACATTAGAAAGCTGACTGAGACCCAAGGATGTCAAAGGGACAGTCCCATCCCCTTGATTCCCTTTAGAGCTTGACTTGGGACACCTTTGGGTCCCGAGTCAGACCAGAACAAGCTACTGACA